GATGGCGGATCATGTTGGATGGCAGAACTTTTGGTGGCTCAACGTTGCGCTGACAGGTGCCTCCATTGTCTACGCCTTCTTTGGCTTCCCAGAGACAAGATGGATTCGTTCTCAGCCAACTCAAGACGCTGTCACAATCGAAGTTGCCGACGAGACATTGAACCCAACTCGGACTGCGGACATGGATCCGTACCTTGGCAAGGGAACCCCCTCTAAGCAGCAGTGGTACCTGTTCCAACGCAACTCTTCGCCCCTTAAGACCATCTGGTTCGACCTCTGGACTCCCTGGAAGCTTTTTGGATTCCCCATTGTGGTATTTGCGTCGTTTGTTGTGAGCTGGAGTTGTAGCAACTTCCTCATTCTAAACCTCACGCAGTCTCAAGTCTTCGCAGCACCCCCTTATAATATGAGCTCGCAGTCTATCGGTAAGCCTCGTAAACCTGAAATCGCATCCACAATTATTGTATGAGACTAACTCTTGTAGGCTTCACCAATCTGGCAGTTCTTGTCGGTGCGCTGATTGGACTCGTCACCGCTGGCCCCTTTAGCGATTGGGTATCCGCCCGCGCGACTGCTCGAAACAACGGCATCCGCGAGCCTGAGATGCGTCTTCCTGCTATGATTCCATTCGTGATAATCATGATATTTGGTAATATTATCACCGCTATTGGATATCAGAACCACTGGTCCTGGCCTATCATCGTAGTCCTCGGTTACGCCAGCGCAGGCATCCAGGTTGCTGCTTTACCCAGTATCGCCAGCACCTACGCCATCGACTGCTACAAGCCAGTGACTGGTCCTCTCATGGTTGCCATCACGGTGAACAAGAACGTGTGGGGATACGGCATGGGTAAATTCATTACCCCTTGGACAATACAGGCAGGGTCAGTTAAGCTTCTCTCTTTTGGCCGGTGCCATATGCTGACACGAATAGGTTCATACCGGCTTTCATGACTAACATGGCTCTGACCGTCTTTTTCTGTGCTTGCGGGACGATATTTTACTTCTATGGCAAGACATTCCGTAGGTGGACCAGGAACAGCACCGTCCACAACTTGTAGAAGATGAAGGATCTATGTTATAGACAACGACCTAAGTTAGGCTCTAGAAGCTCAGATAGTTCATACTCAATAACATGTTACAATGAGACGATTGCAGAGTTTCATGATTCTAGGTACGTTGTGTCTTAGAAATCACTCGCCAACACGAAGTAATTACGTTGACTCCTAATTCAACTCAAGGAAGAGCTATAGAAGTCGTGCAGGTTCAGTCTTAGGAACTTTGAACAACCCCATGCGCTGGAGAATGGTTGGTATTGGATGTTCCCGTTTTGCCTATCACCGACAGTATTGAGAAAGACTACGTGGTTTGCTAAACTGTCCTGCTAATGATAACAGAGCTGGCGAGAGCTGAGAGGAATGTTCGAAAGTACCGCACTGGCCATAACAGATGACTGCATCAACCATCAGATGGCGATGTGCCCTGCACTTGATGATGATAGCCTCGGCCGGGATTAGTTCATCGGTTCATCGGCTATACCGGCAGAAATGTCCAGCAGGGGAGTTATTGACCGAGGCTGTACGAATCACAGCTAGTCGCGCACGTATTACGAAGCTATGGCAGGTAACACCTCGGCTTATTTTGTCCGACGTTGACATGGGGGCATTTTCTAACCGTTCTTGTAGCCAGTCTTGATTCTGAATTGGAGGAACACAATCCGACAGTGAGCTGGGGCACATCTTCAGGGGGCAATAGTGTTACCAATAGATCATAATTCATGGCTTGACTCATGCCTCGTCTGAACCTGCGTCACTATCGCCGCTGTCGTCCGCTGTTCCCTCTCTCTCATCCTCTTCTTCGTCAGTTTCTTTTCCCGAATCAGCGGGTAGTTGGCTTATCAACCCAGCAAGAATTGAGTTGAGGCCCGTCTTGACTTGCGGGTTTGGTGTGGCATCGATGCGCTGCTGTAACTCGGCAATCCTTGCTTGAAGCTCCTCCTTGTTCTTTTGAGCGATATCAATCTCCTCATCGGATTCATCCACCTCGGCTTCTACGTCTCTCTCAATGCCCTTCCCGAAAGCCTCTTGAAAGGCGTCGGCCATGCCGGTATCTTTGATCGCGAAGACGACTGCTTCGATACCGCTCCATGTCTCTTTGTTCCCTTTCTTTTTCCCTTTTCCGTCGTTCCTCGGTAGTAGCGCCTTCTTCCACGCCTTGGCCACTTCGGCGACTGGATTCCCGTAGGCACCACATCCCCAAGCACCGAGCACAATCTTCTTGATGCCCTTGAGCTGGCATATCCGCAGCACAATCTTCATCTTTTGCAGGATGAGCTGTCTGTCTTTTTCTTGAAGGTAGTGGCTGAAACCAGTGTCCTCGTCTCGCTCAATTTCTGGATTCCGCAACATGGCGGCGCTGATGCAGTCCACGAACCATCGGTCTCTTTTCTCCAACACGTCGTCCGCATCTTCATCTCGGAAAACCAGTACATCTGGTGTGTAAATAGCACCGAGCTCTGGCAGACGGTAGTGCTCGTCTTTGAGAGATGGCAGCAGCGTAGTCCGCATACATAATGACTCCTCCTGACTACCGGCACCATTGACGAAGCCACCACCCGGCGTAAGAGGTGAGGCCATGTTGAGAACCGCAACCCGCGTCTCTTTATTACTTATGTCTACCGGGCGATTTGGTTCCGCCTTCTCAGTCACCAAGGCGTGAGCAGCTGTAAGAGTGTCGGCAACTTGGAGTCTGATGTGAAATGGCCTGTTGGTTTCCGAAACATCAGCGCCTTCTGCCTTGGGGGTTCGATTCTGCTTGATCGCTGACTCAGGCTCGATGATCAGCTCGGCTGAGTCGATTCCGCGCCGGGCTCGTGGGTGCGTAGAGAGGAGTGATGGAATTAGCTGATTGAGGGTGACCTTGGCCTTCTTGGCTCGGGCGGCTTTCCGAAAGGCCGCCGGTGGCTGCCCAACTGACGGTTGCGTTCGGCCCATGTTTCTTTTAGTATGAGAGGCGAAATGAATTCGTGAAGACAGAACTTTATGCTCTTGATGCGGGAGCTGACGACGGCGTCTTAAAGTCCGCCTTTAGTAGGAGTATCTTGCGGCGGGGCTAAAAGGCACCTTGATGGCCTGAGGGCAGATCGCTGAGATTATCCCAAACTCCCCAACCACGTGTTTTTGGCTTTATTCTACCCCGATACCTTGGCCGGTGAACGGTAGGAGTCTAATGGTGAGGTCGTGAGAGTGAGCAAGTTTACAATGACGATGAGTGACATGTTTGTGCTCGGATTTTCTCCCGCTTGCTCTCCCCAGGTGGCGCCAGCTGCGTAAGCATAGTTTGTACGGCTGATAAACGCCGAGCCAGGACTTGCATGAGATGTTAGGTGATTGACAACTTACTTTCAGCTGCGCTGACAAGTTCTGAATTTTGCTTTCCAAGTTCTGTTTTCCAATCGGCTTTTCAAGTTTCGGAATTCACAAACTCGCGCAGCTGTTGCAAATTTTCTTACTCCTTATTGAGTCCATGGCAGCTTGAGACTGGACGAAGTTATCGGGACCCACCTGAGAAACGTTCTCGAAATGGAGGTGGCGCTCACTGAACCTCATCAACTCTCATCCAACTTCACTCATCTCAACGCTCAGGCGCCATTCACGGGAATCAGCATCGGCAGCACTCAATTGGCATTCGCGGCAGCCACATTCTCCATTGCCATGGCTTCTCTCAAGCAGCCTCGTCATGTCGCCGAAATCATGCTCTCATGGCTAGGCCTTGAGCTCGTCTCCCTCACTGAGCTTCAAACTCTCTGGGCGGGCTACGGGCACATCTGTGCCCTCACTGCAAAGCTTGCTAGCACCAATGGTGTCGCCAACTTGAATCAAAAGTCGCTAGCTATCCATTCCGAAGAAGATGGGACATATCGCCTCATCATCAAACTCATCTCACCGCCACGCGCCAAGGGAACAGATGAGGGCCACCTGCGCAAGATGTTAAGCTACGAGGTGGAGCAATACTTCTACCAAGAGATTGCACCGCGATTATCAGATGATGTCGCTGTCTCAAAGTGCCTCGCTTCCACTCTAGATATGGAGGGCAAGCCCCGCAAGGAAGAGCTTGAGGGTCTCACCGCCACCATCATCACGGACCTGCGGCCAGAGTTTCCCGTGGCTGGTGAAAAGAGATTGGTCCTCAATCGCAAGCAGGTGAATGCTGCGCTGGACTGGCTGGCAAAGTATCACAGCAGCTCTTGGGCATCGCTGCCGGATGACCTTGGGCAATTTGTGCTGCCCCCGCTTGAAGAGGCGAAACGAAGGGAGGCTGGTAATGGCGTTACAGAGCCCAAGATGTGGCTGAACGGAGGGTACACATACCTTGCTACCAGACGGAAGGAATACGGATCGCTTTGCAGAGACGACTATTCCAAATGGTCTTCGGCATTCTGCGACCCCGTCGAGGGTTCATCCTCTTCGATTGCCGAGCTAGTTGCCAACTTCCTCACACCATCCGGCAGGCCGTTTGAGACATACATCCACGGCGACGTCAAGTCCGAAAACCTCTTCACGACCAAATCTGGCGACAAGGTGGCTTTCTTCGACTTCCAGTACGCGGGACTCGGAATTGGCAGCTGCGATCTCGCTAAGCTTTTCACCTGTTCGGTCCCCGTTGAGATGCTCACTCAGCACGAAGACATACCGGATCAGCTAGCCATGGATAAGGGTGAGAGGACTATTCTGGAGCAGTATCGAAGTACTCTCCTGAGCCAAAAGCCGACAGGGAAGGGGCCCGAGAATTATGATTGGGAGACGTTCGTGCGACACTGGGAGACTGCCTTGGTGGATTGGTGCCGCTTCCAGGCATCTTGGGGCTTCTGGGGAAATACAGAATGGCTCGAGGCTAGAGTCAGACATATTCTTGCCGACCAGAGTTGGCGAGATTGGCTCAAGAAGGAGACAATTAGGACTTAGAGCGACTTAGATGTTCATTATTCGATAGATGATAGATCATTGAGGAATTTTGCCAAAGACGTTGTTTCTGTCTGGCCGATACTCGGTAGCAAGTTTCCAGCTTGTGATACATATTGCATCTTTGCGCTAAACGGACAGCCTGGACCTCTCAACTGAGACATGATGAATTGCTCATAGGACTTGTCCAAGGCCCTTACCTCCTCTTTCCGCTTTTGTGCCTCTATCTCTGGCAGTGTCCCCAATCTTTCGAAGAATGGGATTTTGGGATCGGGCAGCAAGATCTCCGTGACGAGGAACACTGTTCTCACGATGAAGATGATTATGGCTGCCAGTAAGGGGTTGGCCGGCTCGATGCGAAAAGCGCTCAGCGTCGTTGGCAGAGAAAGCGCTCGGGGGAACGCCATGCCGAACCATCGCAGGCCCGGTGGGAAATAGCGGTAAGCAAAGAGATTGAAGATGGATAAACCGATGTATCGAGCTTTCTCGTTGTACTCTCGAGGTGTATTCTCATACGCCTCGCAGAAAGCTATACATCCATCAAAATCTCCTGGATAGTCCTTCACAGTTCCTTTGCCTTCGACTTTGAACAGAGGACCCATGTCCCGCCAGAAGTGGTGAGCAGCAATCTGCTGCTTTTCCGTGAAACCTGACAGACCGAGCCGTATCCTCAGGCGATGCATCAACACGGCGCTGAAGGTCAGGGTGTAGACGTAGTCCTCGTTGTGGGAAAATCTTCCAGGATACTGTCGCGCGAGCCCAGCGTGTAGCTGATTGATTCTCTCAACGGCATCTCGGCAACGTTGATCACTGGGACCGTAGTACCACCACGCCATATTGTAGTGCTCCGTCTTCTCGACTCTGTCGGCGGCTTTATGGACGACTTTGCCGCCGTCAGAGCGCCACACTACTTCAGCTCCATGTAGGGGAATGACAAAGTTGGGGAAGGTAAGGGTGTAGATCAAGTTGTTGGCGAAGTCAGAAAGCTGGTAGCTTGATGTCAGACGCCATATGGTCTCATAGTCTGTCTCGGGATCCAAACTATCGATTGCTTTCGAGATCCAATGGTAACTGTCTTGGGAGATTCGAGAGTTCAAGGGGTTCATGATGTAAATGTTGTAGTTAAAAGATTTGAATATCGGGTGTATCGCAGAAGCATGAATGTCTCTTCTGCCATTAGTATCAGAAGTGGTCCTCTGTCCATCTTATAACACGAGAGAGAGCAACAATGATCGCTTTCGGGGACTTAGGAGATAGGCGTGCTCCTCTCCTGAGAGATCGACTCGACTATCCTTAGCGACGGGATTTTTGCTCGTCCCGACCTCCGCACGCGCTGCACCCCGCAATATTCGCGGGAGCTTCCTCGTGGCAATGCCTGCATAGGGCTTCGGATACAATTCAAAAGTCGCTTGAGTTAGGAATATGGTTGTATTCATTCGTCGCTTAAGTACGGGACTCTTCGGAATTCCGACGAACCCGATTAGTCAGGCAACCACCACCTAGGGAACGAAGCGTTCGGATGAATCTCCGACGTACCTCTTAGTTCTTTTCTTATTTTCCGTTTAATATCAGCCCTGTCTCAAGTGAATAGATGCGTAGTCTAGAGCCATGGTATCCGGTTTGACAAAATATCCGTGATTCCCGACATACCCTGTAAGCATTTCTCCCAGAGGTAGTGATATCTTAGCTCGAGGTAGGACATTTAAGCTGTGGGTACATCAGCCTGGTGCGTCACAGTAATGCTTTTGCTTTCCGAAAAGAAAAATCCACTCGTGTTCGCTTGAGATATGGGTAGGCATATTGACCATGAAAATTGTAACTCGTCATCTTGACATCCATGATCCATAATCCATCCGGCATGAATCTAGGACTATTGTTCGAGAATTCATTCTACTCTTCTCGGATGTTCTTAGGGCAAAAGTTTGAAAGCAAATAAGTATATTTGAAAGCCTTTGAAAGCTATCTATCAGAGTAGAACCCTAATCGCGAATCGAATCCATCTTGTTGCCTCGAACTCATACACCACCCCGAATCCTCCATCGTGCCCTTCAGCCGAGTAGTCCCGTAGTTCCAAATAGTTGAACAACCATTAATATGAAGAGGGAGACCTCTGGATTTCCTTACAAAAGGCCAGAGATGGGGATGCAAGGAAGCTGGACAGCAACGAGACCGGAAGCCTGAAGAAATCAAAGTCAGCTGAAGTCTGCAATTCGTCATATTAGTTCGGTGAGGACTCACGGTGTTGCCATCGGACTTGCAGCAGGCAACACTCTGCTTGCACTTGCTGTTCAAGAGGTCGTTGGCGACTACTGAGTGTTAGCATTAGAGAGAGACACTTGGTATCGGAGAATCTCACTTCCAGCTCCAAGGGAGGAGCATCCATCAAGAAGCTTCAAGCCGCCGTTGCCGAGGACGCCACCCAGAATGCCGGAGAGGATTCCGGATCCCGAGTTATCGTTGACATTGGTGTCGGCGCTGACCTGGTTGCAGCAGCTGACGCTGAGGTTCTGGCCGCAGACGTTCTGTGCATCAGCGTAGGTGAGCGTGTCGAGGGTTCTCTTGACCGGAGCAGCGGTGCCAGGAGCGGCGGTGACGGTGAGGGCCATGGCAATGGCGGTGATGACGGCGGTGGAGAACTGCATTTTGAGAAGATTGAGGTAGACTTGAAGGTCGAAGTTTGGAAGTGGCAGATGATGCTGATTAAGATGGATGAGGATTGCTGAAGAGTGAAGAGAAGATGATCAGATGAGATGTGCTTGCTGAGTGTGATGATGAAGGGAAAAGAAGTCTTGTCAGGACGGACAAGCAACGCTCTTTATACATTTCATCCTGTCTTGAGAAGACTTGTTCAACAGATGCTATCTCCACACATGACCAGTCGAAGGACTCTGAGATCGTCAGTAATCGCTTCACTAGTCTTCCTCAAACCCCAAGGAATGAGGGCATCCAAGCCATCCCCTGCATAGACAGTATTCCTCGCCATCTCAGAAATATCTCAAAGACGGAGTTGTCTATGATCTACATTGATCCATAGCAGTCGCTCTAGTCATTCTGATTATTCAATCCCAACATCATTCCGTGTGTTGAAGCGCACTCCACACAACAACAATCTTACGTCCCTTGCCTTCATTCCACGTGCTGGCGTTTACTCCCCGATGCCACTATCATATCGAAGACCGCAAGGGATAATAACCAGAGTATACCAGTCTTCCATTCGACTAATCTCACATTCATGCCTTAGTAGCCATGCAAATTGGATCTCCATCTATTGCGGCTCTGAGAAGCGCGTCAGAGCGCAGGGATTGAAGGAAGAGTTAACTTCTCCTTCTCATTCCAAGCAGGTGTATCCATGATTCCATCCTTGCACGACTTCAGAAAAGGATCTACATGCAGCCGCGAAGGCTCCGTTTTGAGTGCACCTCTATATCGAACAGCAAGGGGCGGGCAGTCGGGAGGATCTCGTCTATTGCAACCCGCCATCATGCTCATCATTTAGCGAAGTAGTGTATCCTTACAACGGTATAACCCGAATCTCAATCGAAAAATGATGTCGGCAATACGTCCTAGCGTTCTTTTTCAGCTGAGGGTATAAACCAATTGAGACATATCTAGAGTTCGATGAGAAGTGATAGATGTTTAGAGAGCTATGAGTGCCCCATGCGGTATGAGTCGTTAGATTCTACTTTTGGTATTACTTCCATAGTTGTCAAAGTTGTCGGCACTAAGACTCAAGAATAACGCATTCGGCCTGCAGCTTTCTTTTTACAGTAGGCTGGGGTTCACAGAATCCCTGAAGATTTGGCAGATCTTGGCGATCTGGGGATTAGCTCTGCCGAATGCGTTGAGACACCCATTCCCAGAGTTGTCGATCTCACTGTCTCAACTCTTCAACGTCTGGTCGGAATGGATGTGCACGGATGCCCAGTTACCGCAGGGCATCTTGGAAAATGTGTTATTGAGTACCGGCGTATCGGATCCAGTCCTCGCCGGCGCAGAGTCAGAATTCTGCATGATCCAAGTACCGTTTACCAGGACAGGGCAAAGATCTGCGTCATGCCCCTTGGAACATCGTAGGGAGACCACTGATCTGACTCTACCGTAACCCAATTGAAGTCTGGCCGGGTATCATCGTCTACCTCACTTGTCGTTGAAGTGAAGGAGTCACTCTGACGACGTAGTTTTCTACATCTCAATAGGCTAGGTCGAGTGTCCACGCCGTATTAGGGGGTTGCCCCAGTCGCTGCCAAAAACTGTAAACGGAAACAACGAAAGAGTCATACTTATTCCAATCAATAGCACGGAGGGACTCTACTTATGGAAACGGTCGGGCCATGAGCTCTTGATGTATACAGTACGGGAACCGAAGTATTTGCGAGGCTCGAATTCCTGAGTTTCATTGGAGGTCATTCGCTTAGAGAAAGAGGTAGTTCAGCCACCCGCCAAAGTTTTATACAGGACACCAGACCTACTAAAGACAGGCTGCCAGAGTGCCAGGCAAAGGTGATTGCATGTGGCCCCCTTGGACTTCGGAGGCGTCTGGTGGCCTGCTGATAGTTTGGAAATGCCAATTCCGGTGGGCGAATTGCCTCCCGAAACGTGAGCATTTCAATCTTATTCTTACTTCCCCGGTCATGGGAACAGCGCGTGGGGGCTACGAGCTCATAGGAGCCTAGAAGGTCGACGCCGCCTTACGGCCGTGTTTACGTCCGTAGCTATGCCGCCCATGTGCAGTTATGCAACTGTTGGCGGCGCCTCTTATCTTCAGCCAGGCCAATTGCGATGCTACTCCGTCGCATAGTTTCCTCTTCCCGGGTTGAATTTGATGAAGTAGCATGTCGTTGGTGTTTCTTCCAACTGTCAGTCACATCCTGCATATGCAGCCCTAGGAACCGCTGGAAACAAAACTTGAGGAACAAAACTTGAGCAGGGGTGGGAACATGGGATTAATTAGTACACTTTCTTGCCAGCTCGTATCTTACAGTGGCTCAGTCTGACGCCGATAAGATGTACCCCAAGTCAGATAGATTCCTTCGAATCCTTTCCGAAGCGTCGAAATTCCTCCTCAATCAAGGCCCAGCTTTCCTTTCTCAAAAACCCCTGAACCCAGTAATTTCCAGATTCGTCCTTGCCATATATCATAAAAGCGTCACGAGTTTTGTCATCCGCGTTCATGGTGGTGCCCCAGAACATGACTGGTCTGACATGATCTTGCGCCGCATCCGCCGCAGAGTTCCCCACCACCCCAGTGCAGGGCTTGTGTTCGCCAACGTCGCCCGAGGCAGCAGAGCTGATATCGGCGGCATCCAAGAATTTTGCCTTGGTCCAGTTGGAGCAGGCAATCACTCGGGAATCCCACCGCGCAAACAGGGGCATTGTACCTAGAGCTGCAAACCAGTTACGTGCGAGACGCAGGAGACTTCGGGTCTGCATGTCGCTGGTCTGCTCTGCGATGGCTTGGCGCAGATGTTGAGCAATCTGTGCCGTCGTGGCGTCGGCAGCCTCCTGTCTGGATAGAACAGTCGTTGCTGGAAGGATCAGGTTTTGCAGGTATGGGCCCTCGGCCGCAAACGTATCCTCCAAACGCCGGCGGATATCGAATACGTTGCATATCACTGCACTGCACCTCTTCCATGGTCGTGACGACATGACAAGGCGAGAACCCCAAGCTGTGATGAGATCCCCATCGCTGACGAAGGGAACCACTCCACCATGTGTTTCCTTCAACTCTTGCTCGACTCCTTGGCGCAGATGCCTCAGATAGTTGGCGGGCAGATAGATGTGTCGAGCCTGCACGGTTCGGCGAGTCGCGATATCCCATACATATCTGGCAATGAAGGACACCAAAGCAACGCCACGAGTTTGCTTACTTTCTAAAGCGAACTCTCTTTGCGAGACTTCCTTGTCGTGGTCTGTTCCTGCGCTGTCAAGCACATCTCGATAAGTGCCCTGAAGAGGCTTGACCAGATAGCTTTTGCCCACTATGATATTGGACCATGCTTTGAGCAGCTCTGATATACCCATGGCATCGGCGAGCGAATGTGGGTAGGTGAGTCCTACTAGTGTAGCGTCTGCGAAAGATGTGACATGAAGACATAGCAAGGGCTCA